TTTTATCTATATTAAAGAAGAAAGGATTTTTTATTTTTATGCAAAATATTGATGAAATATCATTAGTGTCTAATTTTTATATGATGAAAACGGAAAGAATTAACCATATGAATGCAAAAAGATCGAGAGAGAAAAGAAAAAGGAGCGCATAAAATACAAGACTAAATTAGAGAAAAATATATGAACGGGTAGAAATGCAGAAAACGGTGTTATCTAAAACCCTTAATTTCCGTGATATCAATAATCCTAATTGATAAGGAACAGATTATACTTGAAAGGTTCACTCAGCTTCGTTTTGCTATGAAATAAATTTGTTTCATAACCATATAAAGAGTGATAAAAAGGCACTTGTCAAAGTAACAAGAGTGAAAAGTAAGTAGCGTCTACAAAAGCCAGTTTGTCACTGAACTATATTTGACATCTTAAAACTATTTTAAGAGTCATCACTTAATTTTCTGTACTTCTACCCAAAGATATGATATGCGTACTTGACATTTACAGTTAACTGCAAATGTCGCATAGCAATGTATAAATGCTTCGCTCTCATGATGATAAGCCAAAGTGATGACAATTATAATCAACTTCTTTCACTACTGACTTTTCTTAAAATGAGGTGACGATAAAATATATAACATTAAGTAATAAACCTTATGCACTTTTTAACAGGTAAAGTTGCAAAAAAAAGACAATTGCTTCAGTGAAGCCTAAAATTTCGTTTGAATAAAAAAGGTAACATGAAAAGATAAAAAGATAACATCTGGTTCCATGACTGTGTGCTGATGAATCATGGTAAATTAGTGTAAACATTTATGTGAGACGGATTTTGCCTGGAACATAATGCTTGTCAATTATTGGTTCCTGTAGAAAGATATGTAAGCATCGTTCGTTTTGTGCAAGTGGATGTCCAGCAACTCTGCAAAGAAATTGTTGCATTTATTTAAAAAATTACACCGTACTATATATTTGACATTGACTTCAATATATGAGTATAAAACAGAATTTGGATGTAAGAAAACAAAAAGTTCTTTTTTAAAATTTCATAAAAACATTATAACGATTAACAAGAGATATTACTTGTTGATGAACAGTTCTAAGCCCTTCCTCCTTTCCTCGATAAACGAATCCTCGAATATCCCATCGTCTGAACGAAACGGCAGTTGCCGTTTAAATGCCTTACCAGGCAAAGTTGGTACGACAATCTGAAGTAATGAAAACACATAACGCAATCATTGGAAAACGAATGCTAAAATGACACTTTATGGCCTGATCATCCCATCTGATACGTGGAAATGTCAAAGAACTCGGTATTTCGAACATTTACAGATGAACATATAGGAAAATGTTATTCTCATGCTGAAGTTTATATATAAGCTACCAATTCCACCACTTCGTCCTTACGCCATGTTGTAACTGCTGCCAACCTTGATGAAGCATGCAAGTTTTGCAGATAATTACTTTATCAATTCAAATATTTTACAATGGAAAAGTAATGCTTCAAAGCAACAATATTTGATCAACACAATTTTTTTGAATGAAATATTAATCAGCAATAACAGCAATATACCTTGCTATCACGTTCCAATTCACCTCGAAGCCATTCGAAATCAGAATAACGACGACGAACACTTGATTCCTTATGCTTGAATATTGGCAAATTTGTCTGCAATTCAACATACTTATTTAGCATAAAGCATGCAAAAAAAAACAACCCATGAAATAATCTTTGAAAAAACAGAAGTGTTAAATAACAACAATTAAGCACAATCAAGCAATCGGCACAATTAAGCACAATTTATATGTCTGCAATTCCTAATTTTTAAGCATATATAGTTTATTTTACAAATATAGCCTAGAGGTATCATAATTAATCTCATAATAACTCCAATCGAATCAAGGAAAAAACTTATTCCACTACAAGTTAGAGGCATTGAACAACATTTCATTTGTCATAAAATACACCCCCCAAAATCAGTTTCTATATTGTAGCAGTTGAAGGAGTTGTGGGACGTTTACAGGACCAAATACTTGGCCGAACCAGTATCTTGTACACAGGTGAGTCTCCCGTATGTGAATGGAGCGACCAAGAGAACTTGCAAAATTAAAATAAATTTTCGAAAATAACTTTACTGAAATATTTATCTCTACACATCTTTTGGCAAATTGATCGAAATTACATTACCCTCAATCGAATCTCATAATCGGTATAGCGCGTTTTTCCAACACCATGGGTTATTGGATTGATCACTTCAATTTCTAGAAAATTCGCTGGTGGTGCATACGCTTCATCCAGCGTTTGACGTTTCGGGGCTAAACGCTGCGTTACTACGGTTGCACTGCTACCACTCATCTAAAAAAATTCAAACCATGCTAAGATAATTGCAAATTGCAGTTAAAATGAAACGAACGAATGAAAAGTTTTCTCGAACGAACAGCTTTCTCACGTAAAGATAACGTTGTCTAACTATC